AAACCACAAGTGTAGGAGGATGTCAGAGATAGGAAGAAGAAATAGGCAGAAACAGGCAACACGAGAGGGTCGCTGGAGGCCCAGATGGGACTGCCAGAGTGACCTGGCCCACTCAGAACTAAACCTTTGCCTGAACCTCTCTGGTCTACCTCCTCTAATTTTGCTTCAGTGGGTGGCCCCAGGAGCTAAATGTGAATCCAGGGGCATTTGGGCTTATCTAGAGGGCGTTTTTGTTGTTGTTGTTTTGTTTTTCCTTCAAGCTCTTGCCTTTTTTTTTTCCTCTTAAAAAATGAATGGGGGTGACGGGCTTTTATCCTAGAATAGACCTATGCTTACTAAAAAGTGTTTCTCAAAAAATATAAAGAATTTTCGTACCCCCCAAAACCACTGAAATTTTTTTATAAAGAATTTTCGGAATTGAGCCGATGTCACCAATCTGGTGGGTTCTGAAATCCTAACAGACTAACCGCAGGTTGAGAACCAAGGCTCTCACGCTCTCCAGCTCTCTGATGCTGCAGATGAGAGACACGAATCCTAAAGGAACGCAGGGCCTTTCTTCTTCGCACCTTGCTGTCCATTTTCTAAACAGAAAAATGACGTTTGGTGGGACTCACAGCCCTGCAACGAAGATTCTGAAGCTGAATGTGAATAAAGCGTTTACTAAAGCGCCTTAAAAAACGGGACGCGGGAGGGGCACAGGGCTTCTCCCTGGTGATACTTCCCTGATCCCGCACCGCGGCCCACGCGCTCTCCTCCGCGCTCCGCCCTCCGCTCCCCACCCCACCCCCAGGTCCTTCCCTCCCCGCAACTGAGAACCATAGCTCCGGCCCCGACCGGAAGCCCCACCCCACCGCCGGGGACGCGGACACGGGAGTGCTCACGTTCGCAGCCCGGGCATCCCCGCTGCGGTCCGCTCCCCGTACCGGTAACGCGTGCCAACCTTGCCGCCCACCCGGGGTCGTAGCGGGCGAGATTTCCGAGCTCCGGACGCTCTTGCGGCTCTGCTCAGCCCTGACTCCAGCAGGCCCGCGTCGGTCGCCCCGCCCGTTTCTGGAACCTTTGGTTCCGGCGCTCGGACTTGGGGGAACTTGGGAGGGTGGTGGTGGGGTTTCTGATGCTTTGCGTTTGCTGCGGGGTTTGGGCAGTCAATGGAGAAACCCGAAACAGAAGTCCGTGGTGTTTTCAGGGGCAGGGAGTGGAACCTCAGGCGCCTGCGAGCCCCCTGAGGGTTTAGGCGGCCCTCCTTGGCGGGATGACTGGCGCCGGTAGGCTGGGAGAGCCCGGGGCCTGCCTCCACCCCTAGGGGTGCCGTCGGCTCCTGGGGTCCGAGTCTCCGCCCTGCCCCACCGCTTCTCACAAAACGCCTTCACCTCCATCCATGAGGAGCGCCCGTCTACCCACCTTCTCGTTCCCAGCCTTCGGGCCGCTCCTATTTTCCATAGTGTTTATTTATCCTGGTTATCGGTCAGAGTTTTTCTGACCTTCTCTACTCTGGAATAGGGTCCAGAGGAGTCGTGAGGGACAATTATTAGAATATAAAATCCCAGGAGTCACGTAGTCCGGGTCTGCATCCCATGCTTGAAGGCCCCACAGAGCAGCCCAACAAACAGCACTTGGTTTTGTTCTTCAACCTCGCCACCTCCTGTGGTTGCTGTTTCCGCCTCTGGCTTACATTGAACCCAACCATGTGTATTTCTCTTTAGCTTTGCCCCATTGGCATGGGAATGCTGCCCCTGGAGGGCATTGGACAGAACAGGGATAGTCCTGTTGCGTGAGGGGCATGGGTCTGTGCTAATGAGGCCAGCTCCTTCCATGACCTGCTCAGAGCCCCGCGCCAGCCCCTCTGTCCTCTGTTGCTGGACAGTTGTTCCATATCCTCCTTCCCAGTGCCCCAGGTGTGATATTCCTTCCACCCAGGGAAGGGCATTCCAAAAATACTTTCTTTTGCTGTACCTGATTGCCCTGCTTGCTCCTGCCCTCACTCCTGCGACGGGTTCTTTGGGCTTAAGGCGTAGCATTTAAGTCTGGACCTATGAAGGCCGTCTTTCTGTTATGCCAGGGTCTTGGGCAGTTCGCGTTGGCTCTAACTCTTACTACAGAATTGCAGAAATTCCTCTCTTTATTGAGCACCGCTAACACCTGCCCCCCAACCCTGGTTCTATTTTGTGAAATACTGTCTGCTTTGCTTATCCACTGCAGTTAACTTTTGGAGTTACCCAGATTTCATCTCTTTGACATGGACTTCCACATGGGGTGACCTTGTGTCCTAGGTTGCCAGAGACAGTTCTGGCTTATACCATTGTCCCAGCATAATCACTTTCAAAAGATTCATGGTTTGTATGATCAAGCTTGTCTCTGTCTCTAAGTTAGATACACTTATATTTGTAGGTAAGAGAGTGGCATGTGGCAGCCCACGTGAGACTTGCACTTGGGCCCATAGATGTCAGAGCCACAGACTAGGAAATGAGAATTCCTCCAGGTCAGTGCTCATAGGCCTCATGTAGGTAGAGAGCGTTGGGTGGCTTTGCCCTTAGAGGGCAGGGGTTCCCCTCCCGCCCTGGCACAGAAAGTCCAAACTAATACTGAGGGCTATGTCTTGTCAAATTCATCCCCAGAGTTACTCTGGGGCTTCGAAGCCAGTGCCCCTAAATTCACTGTCATGATCCAGAGGAAGGTGTTCAGAGTTCAAGCCCAGCTCCTTGACATGGCATCTGGCTCCTGGGAAAGTAACCGATGTGGAAGTGTGACCAGAGTTAGGCCTAAGGTGCCCTGGGCTTCCCCAGGAACCAGAGAACTCAGTCCATGCAGGGCCAGTTAGTTTTAAAGACTGCATGTCAGCACTTGTAACTGTCATAGGATTAGGCTAAGAGGGAGAATACTGGTTATCCACTAGGATGACCAACCATCTTAGTTTGCCTGGGATTGAGGGGTTTCCTAGGACATGGGACTTGCAGTTTTAAGACCAGAAAACTCCTGGGCGGACTGGGATAAGTTGGTCACCCTCTTCTCAACCCTGGCTGCATGTTAGACTCTCTTGAGGAGCCTCTTATTTAGAGTCTAATTTAATTGAGTCACGTAGTTGTTTTTTTTTTTTTTTTAACGCTCTCAAGTTGAAATTCCAACAGGCTACCAGAGTTGAGAACTACTAGGCTGTAGACAGTGTTTCCAATAACCATTGAAGGTGTTTGGTTTTTGAGCAGAAGTGGTTCCAGACATCCCTGACAGGGGTGTATAACTCTGTATGTTGGCCTTTTACCTTAGCAAGAGAGATATCAAGCTGGTAGTTGCCTACTATTGCTATTATCTGTCCCCACCCCCAGGCCGCCTTTCTCACTGGTGAGGACCAAGCTTTCTCTTTTCCAGGCATGCTCCGATACCTTCTCCCTCGAGACAGGAGGTCAGTGGAATAGCCTCATTTTGATTGATGGAATCATGATTTACACGGTTGCAGATGAAGCTGGCATGAGACTTGAGACAGGACTGCCATCTCTAGGTCTGGGACATATGCCCCAGAGAGTGGTGGTCCAGAGGCTAACTG